CTAATCTTATATGATGGTGATTCAGTCTTGCAAATTCCTGTAAAAAAAATAAATTATAAATAAATTATACTCTAATTATAGATTAGTTCTAGAGTGTAACGACTTCAAAAATAAGTATGGTAACTTACCTATGTTATTGTTCCTAATCCTATGCCATTTTCACCATCATAAACCTTCATATGCAATAGTAGATAGCTTGCTGAGAAATTATCTTCTCTTTCTTTATGGAATGGAAGTTCAATTATTCTCAGCTTGTAGGTCAGCATATCATTTGCCTGTGGATGCTTCCTTTTTTTTTAAACAACTTCTGTACTTGTATCACCTGAATGAAATGAATATTAGTATAATAAAAGATATTGAAAAAAGAATTTAAAAATAATTTTTTAATCCATTGATTCTTTACCGTTTCTAAGATAAAACTCTGTACAGGCTCATATTCTTCATTTGTCTCGTACAAAGTGCTGTCTAGATGATCAATTGTTTCATCTTTGAAGTTTATCACAACAAGAAATAATGATCTTCTAACATTAGAGGTATATACACACCTACATAAGATTTGTTTTAAACATATTTACTTTAAACCTGTTTTTAATTACTTTTAACATATACTGTTCTACTTTAATATTAATTCTGTCTTACACATTGAGCTGCATCCAAGTCCAATGATTGTGAAGTGTTCCAATCAATCCATAGTTTTTGCAGACTTGTTACTCCCTTTTTTCTATGAGCTTTCAAACACATTGTTAAAGCATCCTTCCAAAGAAAAAATCCAATTATTATTTCTAATATGTATTTGATGCAGAATTCTAAACTATAAAAGTGAATTTGAAAAACTTACCATGAAGTCAAATCCAAAAAAGTATCTGATCAAGTCATTTTCAGACCTATCTTTTTCCATTTCAATGTTATTCTGACCAAGCAGTGATCACATTACTTGAAACTTTCCATTCATTGAGCAAAGTGTTACAATATTGCCTTACTATTTCAGATGAATCTATAAACTAGCTAACTACTTCGCTGTAATGTAGAGTTAAAGTTAAAGTTAAACTTATGTCAAACAATATTATATATAATGCAATATGATTATTTGTTCTTTAGGAAGTCTAAAACATAGCTCTTGTTTGGAAAGTTTTCACCATCATTGATTGCTAAGTAGTCGATCACTTGGTAACATTGCGAACTCATGTTATCCATTACTTCCTTGTGTTTCTTCAAGAAATCAGAAACATAAATCATATCTTCTACACCTTTCTCCTTCTCTAGTTTTCTAACTACACTGAACCTTGAAATTTTTCTCAGAAGTTGTTTTCTTTTAGTGTTTATGTTTGCCAAAGCAAAAGCATCACATATTTCTGCACGATACACCTTTCTCCTATTTGCTAAATCAAGGTCAGAATCAAAAGTCTCTCTAGAAAAACACAGCATATGGATCATTGCAAAAACACCACAATCAAGAGTATATCTTGGTGTCTTCCACTTGAAGTTAACTTCATCAAACTCATATTCAAGAATTTCATCAGCCTTTTCATGATTAATTCTCTTCAGAAAGTTTGACATTTCCTCCACCTTTAACAATTGTAAAGCAATATATAAGTAAAACAAATTTATAGTATAAATTAGAACATCTTTAATTTATATGATTTACTTTAATAAACATATGATTTACTTTAATTAGAACATCTTTTACTTTATATTTTATATTATATTTTTATAGGTAATAAAATGTGTACCTTTAATAGATATTCTTTTACTTTAATAAAAATATTATTTACTTTAATCAGATTATCTTTTACTTTATATTTTATCTTATTTTTAACTGTCATTATAATCTATACTTTTAATACATTTTCATTTATTTTAATAGTACTTTTATTTACTTTAACAATTTACTTTTTATAAACCAAAAAAAATCTTACCACAATAGATCCAAGAATTCTGTAGAAAGGCTTGTGCCTGTCATCATACTCCCTGTTATCCAAGTACTGAATGGTTTGATTCATAAAGTTAACCACTATCAAACTATAGTGGTTACTCATACAGATTGGAACAAAAATCTGTCATTAAAATTACAGTTATTAGTTTACAAATTCAAAATCATAATTCCATCAATGTAGTTTAATAAACATGAATAATAAGACATACCAACTGAGTTGTCTTAATTTTCTCCTTTGCATCACATAGGCACATCCAATCGTACCATGCCTGATTTAATTCATGTGAGTGTACTTAAGGAGACTTCACCTCTGTTTTTTTATCTGTTGGCTGGGAAGCATCCTGTGACCTGAGAGACAGCTCTAGAGGTCTCTATGTATTAATGAGAACATACAAAATATTACTTTATGAGATAATACATATTTAATTATGATTGAGCTTAACAGTTTTTTTTTTTATTCTATGAAGGATATTCTTTCAATCGAGAATCATTCATTAGAAATGACCGACATTGAACTATATTATATTTTATCATTTGAGCAAGGGTTGTTGGAGCTAGGGATGTTGTGTCATCTCTTGTTATCATGAGAAGACTTTCAAATCTCCCAATCTCTTCAGTGTGCAACATTAAATATTTATAGTAAATAAAATATTATTTAAAGTAAACTAAATATAACTTAAAGTAGATGTAATATGTTTGAAATTAAATAATATATTACTTACTGTTTGAATGGGTTGTACTTCACAAAGCAGTAATCAGCCACTACTTGAAAAAGCTCTGGCATTTCATTCATTCTTGATTTGTTTCCTTTCATTGTCTTAGAAACAAAATCAATGTCAACATCTTTCTCTCCACAATTTTGAAACTATCACATTGTGAATATCCTTAAACTCAATTGTGGATGTTTCTGCCTGAAATTGTTTTTCAACAACAACTGTAATAAAATAGCAGATATAATTTCAATATAATGATACACTATTGACTATGGATTGATTAATATTTACTAAAGTTAACAACTTACCTTCCTTTGTAAGTGTTGGTTGATTTAGGATACTCTTAGTAACTGAGTGTACTGCCTTACTAATATCAGCATCAACACCCTTGTTTTTAGCATCTTTCTCTCCCTGATTATCAGCATCAACCTCCTGATTATCAACACCCTTGTTTTCAGCATCTTTCTCTCCTTACTCTCCCTGGTTTTCTTCCTCCTCTTTTTCATTTTTGTCATCATCTTCTTTTTGTTCCTCCTCCTTTTCTTCTTCCTCCTGCTCCTTCTTTTTATCCTTTTCTTCCTCCTCCTTTTTTTCTCCTTTTCTTCCTCCTCCTCCTCCTCATCTTCTTCCTCCTCATCTTGTTCTTCCTCCTCCTGCCTATTGTTTTCATTCTCTTCTTTTTTGTCATCGTTCTCTTTTTTTCCATCATCCAGATCCTCTATTTCAAAATCTTCATCATCAACATCCAAATGGACAGTTTTAGGATCAACTGCATCTTCTTCAAAAGTTTTAGGATCTGTGTCAGTTTTATGTTGCTCCTCCCATGTTGACAGAATCACACTAGATACATTTCTTAGATCATTATAAAGCCTGACTATTTCATCCATAGCCCTTTGTATTCTAGGATCTTCCATCAGCCTTTGTTTCAGAAACCTGTTGAGAATTAGATGTAGACACATTCATTTGTTGCCTTTTCATTTTTTCTCCTAAGGTAGCTATACGCTCAGCATGTATCATTGCAAAGATTTGTGAATCTCTAGTCAACAAATGTCGTTCTTCTTCAATTTCCTTCAAAATAAATAACAACAATTTAGTAGTACATTATTTTTTAACACAAATAATATTAACTTTTAAAGTTAATTTGTTTACTTTTAAGTCAACATTATTTACTTTATGTTTATCATTTACTATATATTATTACCACTAGGAGCAGAGCAATTCAATATAATAAAAGTAAACAAATATGAGATAAAAGTAACTACATTTCATTTTAAAGTAAATAAAAGAAATCATTGTAACTAAAAAAAAATTTACTCACATCTTTTGCAGCTTCATGTATTTCACTATCTGTCATCACACCTTCTTGTAGGTAGAATGACACCAATCTTCTCTCCCTATCAGTAAAAATTTCTATAAGCATTCTCAATTACATCTCCCAAGAATGCTTTCTTTCCTTTTTTTCTACAAACTGGATAGTCATCTTTTTGAAGTTCTCCTTGACCAATAGATGCATTTGCCTCTTTTGCAATTCTTTCTTTGACCTTCTCATCTGACCAATGTTGGATCAATGGCAGTGTTGTAGGTTCAGGCTGTCCTCTGAATGCTAGATGATGAAAGTATACAAGTTGAAGAATAAGGATACATCCACTTATTCCCGATCTTGATTCCTTTTTTTTTGTTCTTGAAGCTCCCCACTGATTTGCACAGGTTATTCATCACATAACCACACCAATCTAGGTTATGTATTTCTTTTACATTGTATGCGTAATTGATTATCTTGTAATCAATCAATCTGTTTGCAACAGGGGCGAAGAATGTGCTGCAAACATACATCACAAAGAATCTTTTAAAATCCTCCCCTCCTTCCTTTAGACTCTTTAATTTGTTCTCCAAATTATTCACAATTATCTCATCATCTTCTGGAATTCCGCGATCCTAGCTTTTTCTTCCATTCTTTTTGAATCAGCAAGTTTGATAGAGGTTGCTTCCTTAACTGAAAACTCACCTTGTTATTAGTTACATGTGGAAGCAAGAATATATCTTCAACATCGTAGGAACTCACTGAAAATTCTTTCAACATGTCAATCTTGAACATGCAGCTGCTTTCATTGAAATGGTGACAAAGCCATGGAAGCATCTTTGTTGAAATTCTTCTTAACTTTAGTTCAAGCAGTCCTACAAAACCAATACTTATGACATCTTTTTTTACTGCTCACTAAAATCGTTAATTAAATCAACATCTGCATTGGGTCTGCAGTGTGTTTTCTTGATTTCCAGATTACCATCATCATCATCATTAACATCAATAACTTCATGTACATTAAGCTTAGAATTGTCAAGCTTCATTTTTTTATTTAATGAGCTTTTCCCTTTTTTCTGTCTTCTTCTGATGAACCATCAGAATCCTCATTCTGATCTTCTTCTGGTTCATAATTGCTATCTTTCACTTCATATTTTAACCTTTTCTTTGTTCCTATAATTTGTTTAAACATGTTAACCAACTTTGAAAACATTTATATTTACTTTATAAACATTTTTGTTAACTTTATTAAAGTTATCAATAAACATCATAGACACTTAATGATTTACTCTAAATAGTTTACTTTAAAACAGCTTTCATTTATTTTTAGAAGAGTTTCTATTTACTTTATAACAATTTGTACTTACTTTATATCAATCTTCATGTACTTTAGAAGAGTTTCTATTACTTTAACAACTTGTACTTACTTTATATCAATCTTCATTTACTTTTATGTAGTACCTTGGTGTAATACCTTGGTGTAATATAATACATAACAAATGAATTTAATTATATAAACTTTTATGAACCTTTTGATGCTTCTAGTTCCTTAATTCTTCTCTTTATCAATATTTGCTTTTTTGAAATCCTTTGAAGCTTAGCACCTATTAAATTTAGTTAGCACAATCAGTGTATAAGTATAGACATATTAAAAATCTTTTAAAACATATATATTTACTCTATAAGCTTTTTTTATTTACGTTACTACACTAAGGATTTACTTTTTATATTCAATTATGTAATAGTATGCATCTTTAAATTTTTAACACAGACTTATATAGATAAATGATTTACTTTATAAGTGTTTCTATTTACTTTATAACAGTCTCCATTTACTTTATACTATATACCTTTAATTGGAGATTGCTTTGTATTTGCAGGAACTTTCTTGGCTTTAGGAGTCACCTTGGCCGCAGGAGATTTCTTGGTTGCAGGAGATTTCTTGATTGCAGTAACTTTTTTACTTGCAACAACCTTCTTTGCTCCAGCAATATCCTTTGCTGGATCTGGTTTTGTTGCAGGTTTTTTCTTTGTAGTTTTAGCCATTTTAATATGTGAACAATTCAAAACAAATATGAGATGACCAAGAATAATGTATAGGGTAATGAAATGAGCAATGATTATCATCATTTTTGTTATGTTATACACAAGCCATTATATAAAAGTCACATTAACTTATTGATTTATACACAAGCTACAATATCTACATATTTCATAGTAATTCAGAAACAATTAATAAATTTACTTTTAGGCAATTTTTGTCTACTTTTAACAAATTTCTATCTACTTTTAACAAATTTCTATTCACTTTTAAAAAATTATGCACTCAAAACTATAGAAACTCAAACAACTACTTTTAATTTACTTTTAGTCAGTTTCTATCTACTTTTAATAATCTTTTATTTACTTTTAGCAAATTTCTGACACTCAAATAGTAGAACAGAAGTACTATATCAACAATAATGCACTCAAATATTACTCATAAATTAACCAAAATTATTCTAAATTAGTATGAGTTTAAGTAAAATTACTTAAGTTCATAAATATAAACAGATCTAAAGTTTTTCAAAAACACTTTACTATAATTTTATACCTAATTTATGAAAAACCTAATATTAATTTCAGTAAAACTTTAAATAATTATCTCATCCATGTCGATTTTAGCCTAAAATTATTTCTCCAATTCAAGTTCTGCTACTTCAATTCTTACATAATCAAGCAAAAAAAAAAAAAAAAACACACAAATATAATTAAAACTTTGAATAATTTTCACATGCATGTCGATATTAACCTAAATCACAACAAATTTGCAGAGAAACTATAAGTAAATTAATCATAATTTGAGCAAAAATGAACTAATTTGCGATAATACCTTATTATGAAGAAATCGAACTAAAAACACTAAATTTGAACTTTGAATTTCTCGTATTCAAGTTTTGCTACTTCAAATCTAACATAATCAAGCAAAAAACACAAATATAAGTATAAAATAGCAACAAAAATAAACAAAATAGTATGAACTACGAAGTTGTGATAAAATACCTTATATTCGTCAATTTTCGCCAATTTTCGAAAATTTTTTGTTCCAAAATAGAAAAATGTATACAGTAGAACATGAAATTGTAATTTTATAGCAAGATTGAGCAGTTTATTTGACGGTTATGGCGGTTTTCGAAGGTTTTTGTAGTTGAAAATGGCGATTAAGAGAGAGAAAATTGCGGAACGAGTGAGAAAATTGCGGAAAGAGATAGAGAGAGAGAGAGGAGAGAGAAAAGGCGCCTGAATTGAATTTTGTAATTAATTTGTCTGAACAAATATGGGCCGTCAGATCACGCGCCTCTTCTTCTACATCTGACGGTCCAAATTTGTTCCTAGTTCCTATTCTAGAATAGGTTCTCATTATAACCTGGTCCTATATATATATATATGTTAGCAATTTGTGACAAATTGGTATAAAATTTAGTCACCGGCGACATATTAGTATAAAAGTTAATAAATTGCGACAAACTGGTATAAAAATTAACAAGTTGCGACATTTCACCCTTCTTTTCTTGCTGAATGAGTTTGTTTATATATATATATATATAATATATATATATATATATATAATTATTCTTATTTAATGATAATAAAATAAAATAATCTAACTCAAACAAATATTCTAAAAAAAATAATAAAAAATAAATTGATTTCATCTAAATAATATAAAAATTTTTTTTTTTTTTTTTTTTTTTTTTTTTTTTTTTTTTTTTTTTTTTTTTATATTATATATATATAAATTGTTAATTCTCATTTTATGATAAATAATTCTCTCCTTCATGCTCATTCACTTAATATAATCGATAAATAATAACAAAAAAAATCGTGAGTTCAAAAAAAATCTCAAAAAATGAATGGAAAGAAAAAAATTTATAATTTAGTGTCTCAAAAGTGAAAATTGTCATGTAATAAGTTGTGATATTTATGAAGTTGGGAGAAAATATATTTATATAAAATTGAATATCTGAAAAAAAAAAAAAAAAAAAAAAGCTCCATATAATCTTGAAAGTATTTAATCAAAGAGTTTGATCTTGTAATTTTTCTTGATTAATTCTTCTGCATAATCTAAAATATTTTCTATATTTTTCTTTTTTTCTCTTTTTATTTTTTTTATTTTATTCTTTAACTTTTTTGGGGCTTTTAATAGTTTCAAAAAATAAATATTTAAATCAAACAAAAGGTAAAGGAAAACAATAGTTTAAGCTACAACAAATAAGAATTATCTTTTGTACAATATACGCTTATTATTCTAAAAAGAAAGAGGGTTAAATGTCATCACTAATAAAATTTTATACCAATATGTCATCACATGGTAACTTTAATACCAATACGTCACCGGTGACTAACTTTTATGCCAATCTGTCACAACTTGCTAACTTTTATACCAATTTATCGCCGGCGATAATTTTATACCAATATATCACAAGGGTGCTAAGTTTATACCAATTTGGCTAATTGGCCATATATATATACTCCCTCCGTGTTTTTTAAGTGTTACAGTTTGACCGGCACATAGTTTTAGGCAATTTAATTGACTTAAATAAAATATAAGTTAAGTGGGGTAGTTGGAGTATTAAAAAATTGTAAAATAAAGATAGTAGAGTTAATAGTTTATTGAAAAGTAATGAATGTGAAAAGAAAGATATAATAAAAAAAAATAGTAGTGGGTTTGGGTGGGGACCATGAGAGGAGAGATATAATATTTTTAATGTAGCTTTTTGCCAAAAAAAAGAAAGTGTAACAATTAAAAAAACACGCCCGGAAATGAAATGTGTAACACTTTAAAAAACACGGAAGGAGTATATAAAATAAAGTATAGATTATAAATGTTATAATATGGCTTGAAACTATTGGCCAACTTTAAATGACTATAAAAAAGTGAAAATTTTAAGATATTGTACCTTGCTTGGTACAGCAAAAAAATGCAAAAAGAACATGAAACTATTTTGTAAAGAGCTTATAGTTATTTTGTAAGGAATGTATAATTGTTTTGTAATGAACATCCAATGTTACATATTTATTCATATCTAAATAACATCTGTAATATTAATAAAGAACACCTAGGTTTTTCAGTGCGGCAAGCCACATGGTGCGGCAGTTGTTACTTGTATTATAGGGTTACTTGTATGAGTTACTTGTATTCTAGGGTTACTTGTAGGGTGTTACTGGTATTATGAGGCTACTTGTATGGGTTACTTGTAGGTGTTACTTGTACTCTGAGTAACTCTTTCAAATAAATCCAGACCAAAACCTCATACCAAACCAGTAACACCTTACAAGTAACCCTGACCAAAACCAGTAGCACCCATAGAAGTAACCCTAGAATACAAGTAAGGCATACAAGTAACCCTTGACAAAACCAGAAACACCCTACAAGTAACCCCTGATCAAAACCAGTAACACCCATACAAGTAACCCCATAATACAAGTAATACCTACAAGTAACCCTTGATCAAAACCAGTAACACCCATACAACTAACCCCAAAATACAAGTAATACCTACAAGTAACCCTTGACAAAACCAGGAACACCCATACAACTAACCCCAAAATACAAGTAATACCTACAAGTAACCCTTGACAAAACCAGTAACACCCATACAACTAACCCCAAAATACAAGTAATACCTACAAATAACTCTTGACAAAACCAGTAACACCCATACAACTAACCCCAAAATACAAGTAATACCTACAAATAACCATTGACAAAACCAGTAACACCCTATAAGTAACTCCTGACGCACCATATGACCAGCCCATACAAAAATTTGTAATCCTAACATTCTAGCAAATAGTTTTACAAATCTTACTAAAAGCTTTCTAAGCGATCATCTACTTGTTCCTTATTCATGTCTCTTTTACAAAGGTAAATAAATGCCATTCACATTCACACGTGTTATACATTGATCGGTAGGTAAATCTACGCCTACACTTATCAATGATTGAAGACTAAGAAACCAATCTTAGCAGTACAATACTATATTGATTAGTTGATTACCCTGAGAAAAAAACGTTGTCTTTTACATTTAAGCTCAAACAAAATCAATTTATTACATATGGACTGAAACAAATAGATCCGAACGCTTATACTGGGCCCAATAATTTAGCAATCAACCCATAAATCACCAGTGAAACTAACATTAACCCTAACAAGTAAACATGGCAGGTCCATACCATGTACAGCCTGCACAGAGCCCAAATATGCATGGGGCCTCAGATTTTCTAGTTTAAGATCTGGGCCATATCCCGAGTTACTTTATGTATTTTATGATATGTAGTTGTTGTTGCATTTAATTTTAGTAGACTGACATACTGATGTAAAACCCGTATCTAAAGATCTAATTGTAAAACTATGCCAACAAGGATACTTGGAAGTAAGGATTTTCCCCTCTATTGCCCGAAAATAATTGACAAAAAAATATCGTGAGAGTTGAGGTCTAATCAAAGTCTTCCTTACTTTTTTTTTAAAATGAAATAATTCAATTACAAAGTATAATAAAGGTATCATAAACTGACCTGACCGACTAAATTTTAAAAAAATTCGATTTAGTTTTTGACTTATACTCGTATAGGAACAATAAGTCAATAACATAGCATGACTACATGATTTAAATGTGAAAAAGATTCGACCTGATCCAATCCGATATTAATAAATCTGACCTTGTTACTCAAATTAAAACCTCTAAAATATGAAAGCCTATGTACCAAGCCCAAGCCCTCAATTGTCTGTTTAAGTCTGGATATGCGAAATACATGTGACGAAGGCCGACTTTTATAGAAACTTGTAAACCGTTTATCTTGTGAGATTTGTTGTAAACCGTTCCCTAGTTTTAGGAACTTGTAAACCGTTCACGAGGTGAAGGTTACACCCTTTAACGATCCAGGATATCGTTAACTCCAATAGGTCTGGAACCATGACTGGTAGTTCGGGGATGAAGGTACAAATCCAACCTAAAAGAGATTGAACCTGCCCTAATAATAGGCCTTTACTTTATTCTGCTCGT